ATTTCTTGAGATGCTTAAGGTAGAAGCCTACTCACAATTTTTGACAAAATTGGTCATAAATCGCATGACAATGTTCATTAGTTTATTATGTACAATCATGAAGCTAATGTCTCATGGTACAATGAAATAGCATTATTTTGTGTGTTACAGTTAAGTTTTTTGAGAAACGTGTTCTAATATTTCTTGAAAATCACTATTTTTAGAACAATTCCATAGAATACAATGTTAAAGAAAAATTGCATTTTTTGACACTTTTTAAAACCCAGATTTTTAAAATAATTCAGAACAACAAAAAGTACTCCTTCATTAACAATATATGATTTTTTCAGCCTATGTCACCAGGCTAGATTTTGAGATATTGCATAATATCTCTGCCATAGGAACCTATGGTAAAAGCATAATGTTAGTGCCAAAATGGTGACTTTCCACTAAAATAAAACCATCAATATCTCGAAAATAAGGCAGGTGACCCCCAAATTTTTTTTTAAGTCAATATCCCTATATTGCCTTGGAGTACAGTTTGTTGCAAAATGAATAAATTCTGATTTGTTTTTAATTTATGAGTAGGCTTCTACCTTAAGACATCCCATTGTGTGCCTGCATAAATCTGCATGGTTAATGAAATATTAATAGCATCATAGATAGGTGTAAGTGGAGAGCTATATAGCAAGAGAAATATTACATAAATCCTCAGCTAATAGTGGCTTCATTTAAAATAGAGGAAAATAATAGCAAAATCATCACCAACTGATAAGTCCCTTTTTTTTACAATTTACATAGTGAAGTGTAATTACAAGTATTTATATATTTCAATGACAGAAACCCCTGAAAGTTAAAAAAAAAAAGTCCCAGCATACACCTAGATTGTTAACAAATCAAATACTGTGTTTCAACGGATAACTGACTAAATCATAAATAGTACAGATAATCTGATTGGTCAATAAATAATGAATCCTAGAACTGTCAGTTGCTTAGCCCTTTGAATGATGAAGTCAACTATTGTCATCAATTTTCACAAAATAACTTTTATTTTATTTTAATTTTATTTTTTTAACAATTTTGCCTGGAATTTGTTGGTAATGGAATACGATGTCCATTCGGTTCTAAATTATAAGATAATCAAAACAAAAAATTACATATGTGTGAGATGTTGACATGACAAACTTAGCAGAAAATATTATGTCGCTTAAGGTTAAGGTGAATGAAAAATAAATCTTGGGAGCATTCTCTGAAAGGTGAAAATATTCATAAAGTTAGGTATACCACAAATAATGCTTTGTGTCTGCTTAGGATGACAGAAAAGTATTCACAACTTAAA